TAATTTCCACTGTTAAGTCTTCTTACGTAAGAAATACATTTATTAAGAGCATGACTACCATAGACAGTGACTCCTTTGATGGACCTGGGAAAAGTAAATTTAAACCTCTGGAAAGGATTTGCCATATAGATACTATTAAGAACATTTGTGACTCATGGGAAGATGTCAAAATATCGACACTAATGGGAGTTTGGAGGAAGTTGATTCCAACCATCAGGGATGACTTTGAGGAGGTCCAAGGTTTCAGGGAAAAAAGCTCATGCAGATGAGGTACAAATATCAGGAGAACTAGACCAAATCACTGCAACCTCATGATAACAACTGTGCGGATAAAGAGCTGCCCCTCGTGGCTGAGGGAAGAGAGTGGTCCCCTGAAATGGGATCTACTCCTGGTGAAGATGCTGTGATGACTGTTGAAACGACAGCAAAGGACTTAGACTAGGACCCAAACCGAGCTGACAGAGCAGTGGCAGGGTCTGAGGACTGATTTCAATTCTGGAAGAAGTTCTGTTGTGGGTAAAATGCTATCAAGCAGCATCGCATGCAACAGAGAAATCGTTCATGAATGGAAGAGTCTATTAATGGGGCAAACTTCATTTTTGTCTAGTTTTAAGCACTGGCCACGGCCACCCACCCCAGCCTTCAGCAACCACCACCAGCATCAAGACAACGCCCTCCACCAGCTCTAGGCTCAGTGGATGGTGAGCATTTTTGAGGAATAAAGTACTTTTTTAGTCAAAGTATGTACATTTGTAGACTTATGCTGCTGCACACTTAATAGATTACAGTTTACTGTAATCATAACTTCTACAAGCACTGGGAAACCAGAAAGTTCACACGGCCGTCTTTATTGCCATAGTCGCTCTATTTCAGTGGTGTAGACCTGAACTCTCAACATCTCTGAGGTCTGCCTGAACAGACATCTCCTTTTTAATGTTTGTCTGGTAAAACTGGATGAAGGTAAAATATGCAAATAGAAAAGCTGTCCATTCACCGTCAAGAGAGGTAAATCCTACTGGAACTCCGGTCAAACACGCAGCTCTTCACAGAGTATGACAGGTCTTTATCATGGTAACCAACCGGGTACAGTCTGTACACAGGCATCCCCTATCGTCAGCATAAACTCATTCCAAAAATAAGGATCTGCCTTCTATCACCTTGAGGACACATGCACACTTGCTTAGCATTCCAATAAAAATAGTGCTAATATCCCAGATAACCGGAAGCCCCTCCTCCCACCAGGGTTGAAACTAGAGAGCCATTCACTAAAAGACTTAGGAGATTAAGCAGCTCCGTTGTAAAAGCAGGTGTATTTCTGTGCTGGGACCCACACCAAGCCATTCAGTGCTTTAGGTTGAGATTTTAGAATCACATCATCAGAAAAACCTGCTCTGCGGGGATGCTGTGCCAGCCAGGAACATGAGGCCCTCCTGCCTTCTCCAAGGTGCTATGCTTTGCGACCCTTCAACGAGCTGTTTTCTGTGCCCTGTAGGAGCAATGGCCCCTTACAGCTTGGAAAATGAAAAACCTGCCTGTGATGCTGATGGTATGTGCCTTCTGAAAAGCAGGAAATTCCATTTGCTGGGCTCCTGCTCACCCCCCACAGGGCTGTGCCCATCGCTGAGAGATGGTCTTGCAGGGTCTGCAACAACTTACCTGCCTAGTGTCACATGTGAGAACCTGATGCCCACATAGGTTACATCTCAGGCCCGCTGGCCCATGGCTTGTGAGTAGAAAAGACAGAATTAAAACCGAGGCCCATGCAGCCCTGGCCAGGTGGCTCAGTTGGTTGGAGCATAGGCCTGTACACCAAAAGGTTGCGGGATCAATTCCTGGTCAGAGCACATACCTAGGTTGCAGGTTCAATCCCTCGTTGGGACACGTAAAGAAAGGCAACTCCTCTCTGACATCAATGTTTCTCCCCCTCTCTTTCTCTCTCTTTCTTGCTCAAATCAATAAACATAGCCTCCTGTGAGGATTAAAAAAAAAATCTAGGCCCACTTAACTCCCAAAACTTGTCATTTGACACTTCCTGGGCCTACTTGGGAGAGGTGGAATAAGAAACAGCAATCTTCATCCTATAAACTGAACTTTCCTTCAAAAAGAGCCAAAAGATTATCCAAACCTCAGATTGCTCTGGAAGGAGCTAACCAGAAGGAGCTCAGTAAACAGTTAACAGGCAGACCATTCCCCTGGTGACAGCGCAGAGTGAGGTCCGCAGCAGGACTGTCTACAAGCCAGATCATTAGTGGCCTGACCCTGGGTGAACTCGCCAGCTCTCTGCCTGTTTGCACGGTGGCCTCTAGGGGGCGCAGGCAGCGCGCGGTTCCCTTCCCTGCGGCTTGTCCAGGTCTGGTTGCTCCCATGTTCCACAGAGCAAATCTCCGCTGGTCAGGGCCGCAGGCGTTAGAAATCATTCCTGACCAATCTTTCCCAATTTCCCAGCTCTCTTCCTGGAAGACGTGGCCTGGGCAAAGAGTCAGAGGAAGGCCTAAAATTGAAACTGAACAATGACCCATGGAAAAATCAGAGAAACCAACCCTCTCGTTGGGTTATTCTCTAAGGTCTTTGCTTTTCCTAAAATGAATTTTTGAGGCCACAGAAGTGGCAAAGGCCTTAAAAGTACATCAAATTAACGTTCGGTTTTTTTAAAATACAGTATTCTTCATCAAGAACTCGTGAAACGGAACGCTTAGTGGGCACTAAATAAAACAGGTAAACACTAAATTGTGGGGACATGAACTATCAGGTTAGGACACACGGACCTGGCTCTACTGGGGAACGTCACATGACTTTGCCTCCTGCAGACTCCAGTGATAATAAAAAGGGTGCTTCCCACCTCCACCCCCGTGATGAACACCTTCCCCGAGACCTGTAACCTGTACTAACCTGAGTCCCTCCTCCTCACACACACAGCCCTGATGAAGGCCACTAGGACCCGGGGCAGAGACATGAGGGGTCTGGGCCTCGGAAGCAGGAGGTGGTAAGAGCTAGATTTCTGTATTTTCTAAATGGTTCAAACACACCGGAGATTCAGGTCGTGGCTGAAGGAGGAAGGAGAAGTGGCAGTAAACCGGTGTAGCGTGCTGAGCCTCAACATTCGGAAGAGTCGAGGGCCTTCTGAAGGCACGCGCCCTGGCTGTGGCGATAGGACTTAAGGGTGAGAAGGGCAGGGTGAGTCTGCAAAGCTTCCCTGGTCCTTGGGTACAGCCTGCTCAGCGCACAACAGTGAAACCTGGAAGGAACAGGGGTGAGGTAGCATGTGCGCCCCACCTGCCTTCCCTGGGCTAGACCCCTGAACACGGGCTCTGCCAACACGCAGGTAGGTGAGAGCTGGGCCAGGGCCGCCCACAAAGCTCGACCATCGACACACACCTGGTACAGGAAATGCACACCTGGCCCATCAGTTATAAAACTGTTGGCTAAGATTTAAAATAACAGATTCAACTAGAAGACCATATGGAGCATCATTAAATACAGTTAAAACATAGGATATGGTGGAGTAAAGATGATATGATAAATATATCTGCAAAGGAGGTTGCAGAGCTAAAGACAATGTCTGAAAAGTGTTCTTGCTAAAAAAAATTGCTGGGAGGGCCGCTATAAAAACAGTAACTCGGATTATTAGTTGTTTTTTTTTAAGTGTAACAGACATTTTTGGAGAGTTTCAGAAACATAACTGCTCTGATCCACTGCTGGTTAAAATGGAAAATACTCAAAGCAATTTATTAATATTGAAATCCCTAAAAATATATATGAGGGAAACAACAGTTCCACAAATTTATCCTAAAATCAAGGACACAGACAAGCATAAACGAGCAGTGAGGACGTTGTTTACAGACCTGATGGCAGTGTCAAAGCTCTGAAATGCTCAGAAGAGGGGCTGGGTTAAATAAACTGTAGAGCATCCAAATAATAAAAAAAACTCCTCAGTGATAAGAAATGGTGCATTTGCCCTGGCTGGTGTGGCTCAGTGGATTGAGCACCAGCCTGCTAATCAAAGAGTCATCAGTTCGATTCCCAGTCCAGGGCACAGGCTTGGGTTGTGGGCCAGGTCCCCAGTTGGGGACATGGGAGAGGCAACTACACATTGATGTTTCTCTCCCTCTCCTTCTCCTCCTCTTCCCCTCTCTAAAAGTAAATAAGTAAAATCTTAAAAAAAAAAAAAAACAGTACATGTTAAGTGATGTGGAAACATTTTCAAAGACATTTCCCATGAATGACAAGTTTTCCCAAGTAACACATGAAGTGTGGTATCAATGTGTATCAACATTAATATCTGTGTGAGTACGTTCAAGGAAATAGTATTTGCAATTATAAAATAATGCCTGGTTTTTCGTCACATGATGGAGGTTGAAATGGAAACCCAGCTTCACATCTGCAGAAGTTGAGCTCAATCAGCCCACGGTCATACAGAAATATGGTGGCAGTAAAGGCAAGAATAAGACAGTTACACTCAGGACAAGCTGTGATCCGACTTGCAAACTGAAAAAAGAAGAGAGTCTTGGAGACATCTTAAGCATTCGTAGCAGGACAAAACTTTTAGGAATATGTCTATTGCACACATCTCATCTCATCATGGTTGAATTTCAGGATACTCTCGATTTGATTTTTATATGCAATTGATGTGTGAAAGTATCCAATTTCTAACCCTGGGATCTGGTCCATCATCTGCTTCATTCAAAACAGAACCTTAAGCACCCTGTGAAGCAGACTGAATAGTCAAGATGCCTCCGGGCAAACTACTCTTGGTTACACTTAATCAGAGCTGAATAAACAAACTCAGTATTGGTCACATTTGTGCAAGTTATTCCATTTCACTGCAGCCAGAAGAGATTTTCATGTGATCCTGTGTAAACCAGCTAAACATCTGGAAAACGTGAAAACGATTCTGCAGACACAAGCGGACCACGTGCTCGGTGGAGCCGCCAGTTAGGCGGCTGAGGTCAGCCCCAAGTCAGCCCCCTACACTGTGAGGTCGCCGGGCGTGGTTTACTTACTATGAAGCCAAGTTTCTTATAGTCCCGGGTGTACATGGACTTGCGCTTCTCCATGCTGCCGCTGCTGGCGTTCGGTTCAGGCTCGGCATCAAAAGCAATTCTTCGAAGTTCAAATATGATGTCCCTCTGGGCCTGCGGGCGTTCGGGAGAAAGAGGAGAAGAGAGTTACGTCCACTGTGAGGCATTCTACAGACTCCATTTCCCCGAATGGACATGAGTCACTGCATTCAGGAGAAAAAAAAACAGTTAAAAGACAGCCAATGCTGTGAGTGTGGGCTCTGCCACTCATTCTCCTGGTCAGCCCTGGCTTTATCCCACAAGTGTCCTCACCGCCAAGTCATTTGAAACACTTCTGTCAGTTGTCCGGAGTTCTTAAAGAAACCCCAAATATGATGACAGTCTTGGGAGTGGAGAAAGCCAAGTTCAAGAACTTGGGGCTAATAGCTGCTATAAACACAGCGAGAGGCACACAAGGTTTATGAACAGCACTCACATGATGAGGGATGATGACTCCACTAAGAAACACCTCCACAGAAACAAACTCTTGCACGTGGTTAAAATGATACAGTCCACGCATATTTTACCATAATAAAAAGGACACTTTACATAAATACAAGGAAGGGCTTCCAAACCGAGAAGGCCGTTCCGGTAAGATGATAGTCTCCTCTCTCTGGGATGACTGCACTTGGCCTTCCCAGGAGTCTGGGGCACGAGAGGTGGCCTCTCCATCACTCTCAGCCACATGGCCTTGAAGGAAGCGCCACAGCGGTTACACACTTTACATGTGTGGCGCACATCTGCGATCTATCAGGCCCTCGCGTGCCAATAAGGAGGCTCTTCCTTTCCAAAGCTGCAGCGCTGTTTAAGCTGAAAATGTGCACCAGCAGGCCTCCCAGCTGTTCCCTCTCACTCTGTCCTCACCACTCAAGTTCCCCAAGGCCTTTTGGATGGAGGCATAACCTTTTGTGCACAAGCAGAGGCCCAGAGAAAATTACAGCAAACAGCCAACCAACACCAACGCAAGCCCAGAAGTCAGGCGTGACCTGCAGCCCCCACCTCTGATCCCTGGAGAACAGAAATCACTTCCTCCACCTGCAGAATCAGATTGCCCAGAGCTACCAGTTGGCCCCAGTTGTCTGGGAACTTGACCAAAGCTATCACCATGGAGGGTATTGGGCCAAGGGCCAAGGTCAATGGCCATAGGATGTCAAGCTTTCTTATCCGATACAGAGAGAATACATGTGTTTGATGTGTAATGAAATAATCTGCTCATCTCATTTTCTGATCCCATATTTACCCAAATTTTAAATCTGAGATGATCGCCTGGTTTTGGATAAGCCCAAGAAAAGACTTTGAATGACATATTCTCCCCTTCCTGTACCTTTACTGCCGTCTCGTGAGCACTCACCTGGTCCTGGGGGTCCATCTTGGTCATCATCCTGTCCTCCAGGAGGTTAAAGGTGAGCACCTGGAGCACGTAGAGCTGATGTGCCATCTCATTGTTGATGGCCCGCTGAGCTCGGATGACATGCTGGGGACATGGTTCACAAATGGAAATTAAAAAAAAAAGGAAAAGCAAACAAAAGTTAACCCCCATGGTTATTCCCAGTAGAATCTCTGAAGTCTTCATTGGGAGGCCCGGGGAGGTATATGGGTGGGACTACACTTCAGAAGGAAGGCAAGGACCCTTGGGGACCCTGGAGCTCCTTTATATTCAAGAGCCCAGTAAAGCTGCTAGATCTTTAGGCCAGAAACCAGGAAAAGACCTACTGGGAGCAGGGAGGAGTTTCAGAGGAGGACAAGGGGAAACGCAGGGTGACTTTAGCCCCACAAACCCAGAGCAGGTGTGCCTGGGATGAGAGGACCTCGGGGGAACCGTGGACTGCGGAGGCAGAAGCAATGGTGCGCGCAGAACAGGGCGTACACACGTGCACTGTGAGCGAGTTTGCCGTCATCTCACCCCACAGCTGTCCCTGGCAGGGGACCCCACTTGCAAATGGGGACACGTTTCCCAAGCAACACACACAGGCAAAGCTTCTCTCAGACTTGTGGTCCACTCACTGTGGAAACTACAGGGAGGCCACCCACTGCCTCCACAACACGGCGAGTGATTGCATGGGAGTTACTTCACTCACCTATTAATGCCAAAATGAAAAGTAAAGGGCACACGTACAAAGGGCATGGCAGGAGACTAGCTAGGTGGGCTTCTGTCCCCCACCCCCAGAGCTGGGTGCACCTTCCCTCCTCTCTGGCAGGACCATGCTTGTGGCTTCAGCGTGACTGGTCAATGTGGGGAAACCACCGTTCAAGTCAGTCATTCTGAACCTGCCAGACCCAACCATGTCCTGCCGTCCGAAAGAACTTTCTCTAGGTGCCCCAACCTGGCGTGCACTTGAACTCCACACCCTGGCTGTGAGCCCCACATCAAAACAGCCTATTAAAGAAGGTGGGGGAGAAGAATGAGGACTGGAAGGAAGTCACAGAACCAAAATGAAGGAGGCTGAGCGGGTGGGAAACTGGGCAATGGGAGGCGGGGGTGGAACAGGACTCACATCCTTCCACCTCCAGAACAGACTGCTCATGCACAGTATACACTCAGTACCCAAAGGTTATGGGTGTGGACATTTAAGTCTTTAATCCATTCTGAGCTTCTTCTGTACCCAGTGTAAGAAGCTGGCCTCAGGAGAGCACGGATGGCTATAGAGGGCGCTGTGCTGAGTGAAGTCAGTCAGAGAAAGACAAATGCTATATGACGTCACTTACACGTGGAACCTAAAACACGAACAAACTAACAGACAAAGAGAAACACTGGCAGAAACGGAGCACAGACTGATGACTGCTAGAAAGGGGGGGACTGGAAGGATGGGTGGAAGAGGTGAAGGGACAAAGACGTACAGAATGGTAGGTACCAAAGAGTCATGGGGATGTTTAATGTACAGCATATGAAATCTAATCAACCATTTTGTAATAACCATGTACAGTGCCAGGTGGGTATTGGAAATATCGCGGGATCACTTTGTCACAGATGTGACTGTCCAACCACTACACTGTACACCTGAAACCAATACAAAATAATACTGAACATGGCCACTAATTTTTTTTAAAAAGACAAAGTATGTGGGTACGAATGTACATGGATATCTATTTTAGTTGCAACTCAAAAGTGTCTGTACTCCAAGTTCTTGCCAGAGAATGCCAACCTTGAACTTTTGGCCTCAAAGTCTCATAGAAGAGGCCCCAGTGGAGCAACCTGATCCTTGAGATGGTGAGGCTACAGTGACCCCACCCAGCCCCCCTCAGGGCATCCTAACTTGATGGCCGGACCACGCTCATGTCAACAGGCTGAGACCCTCACCCCGCCTTTCTAGTCCTTCCTCTCCCGCTCTCTGCCCCCTGCACAAACCCCTTCCCTGAACTATGCCTCCATATCACGGCTCCCGCTTGGGTTGAGAGCCAGCATAAAAAAATTAGGAAATGTTTTCCTAATTCCTACAATTTCTCCCAGACCATTCTTGGATGTAGACTCTATTCCAATGCTTTACCAAAACCCAGTTCGGATTCCAGGGGGAAAATAGGGCACCCCCCCAAAACTTGGGTACCTCCTTGGCCAAACAGAAAATTACACTCATAGGGGCTCCCTTTGTCCTAAACAGCCAGAAAGTTTAAAATCAAAGCTGATGAGTAATTGTAGTTCTTACTATGGGCTTTGGGTTCTAGAGTATTTATTCTGCTTGCCCTCATACAATTTTTCATTCTTAATGGCCTCACTGTGTTGGAATGCGTGTGCATGCACACACACACTTGCAACACTATGATTTGGAATCAATCACACGTGCTTCCGTCGGCCCTTAGTTGAAAGTCAAATAGCAGGTATGGTCCCAGGAATTCTTGGTACTTCCTTTATTTTCAGAGGTTCGCAGCCTCTTTCCCACCAATGTTTCTGGTCACGTTTGCATTGTAATGGTGAGTGGCTTCTGTGGATGCCTCTTCCATCCTTCCCTTGTACAGGGCCCAGGAAATGATGGTGAGATGTCAGGACTCCTCCCAGGATCTGATGTGTTTCCAGCTAGCTCCCTCGTTAAAAACAGTGTAAGCTCCAACTGGTAGGTGTTTTAAGTCACGGATCCCCCGCTTTCCTCATGTGTACATTTTAGCAGAGCTAAAGCCACGGTCAGGATACTAAACCTGCCCCACGGAGAGATTCCCAACCCTTCCTGCCAGAAAATCTTTCCCTCCAGAGCAGTGAGTGAGGGAGACCCCTCCCTCCACCCAGAGGAGGTGTTCCTGTGGGAAAGGCCCGTTTTCCAGTTTTAAAGGCACATGTTTCCTGCTTTCCAGTTCCTACTGCTGCACCCCACAGGCACAGCCCAGAACAAACCACGAACTGAAGCCCAAAGAGGAGAGAAATAAACAAACGTGCCGGACCACCCCTCCCCAACACGCGGCCACAGCACGTGGGTACTCACCGTGAGAATGATGGACCGCAGCTGCTTCTGAGCCAGAATATTCGCCATCTCCTGTGGAAGGGAAACACACCCCACCCCCAAAAGCTGAGGTTAGAAAGGTCTGTCTCAACACAGTCCAAAAGGACTTGACCCTGGGGCGCACGTCACCCCTGGATATCAGCAGTATTTCTTATGAAAGAGTGGACTCAAATAGGCAGTACTGTTGCAATTACTTTTTGAATGCTGTGTTTAGAAAACAAAGCCATGTCTAAAAGCAAAAAAAAAAAAAAATCTGGCACCTGTAGTCTACTTTCCTTTCCTTCCTTTTTTTCCTTCCTTCCTTCCTTCCTTCCTTCCTTCCTTCCTTCCTTCCTTCCTTCCTTCCTTCCTTCCTTCCTTCCTTCCTTCCTTCCTTCCTTCCTTCCTTCCTTCCTCCCTCCCTCCCTTTTCCTTCCAGGAAAAGGTGAAGGCTGGCTGAAAACCAAGCACTGCAAACGGAAGTGCTAGCCCTTACTTCTGTTGAACTAGACATGCGCACGGAGCTTTCCCCAGCCAATGTGTGCCTGTGCCATGAGAATCAGTAGTAGAGAAACATCACTTTCAGGATCTAACTCTTTTAAATGTCCTTTCAATCTATGCAAAACCAAAGAGCACTCAGTACATAGCCCAGGACTCGAAAGTAGTCTACGCCAATGAACTAAGTGGCTGGAGCTCTGGCAAAGGACAAACATCTGGGCAGACGCTCAACTCCAGAGACAGCCCTCACTTCTGCAGGTCATGCTCGGTGCTTTGGCACAGAGATTTGTGGGTGACTTTAGTACATGAAAAGATGCACAAATGAACTTTCCAAGTATTGATGAGTGGATGCTAAGGGAAAATTAAATGGTCAAATACCATCTTCTTATAAACATTCAAAAATAAAAAATACTGCTCATATTCAGGAAGTCACTGGAATGTGGTTTATGGGGGGGTGTTGTATTATTAGTGTTGCTCCTCTTACTGAACAGAGAAGAAACTAAACTTGATTCAAAAACACCACCACGAATTGGGTCAAAGTTAAAATCAACTTGCAGAAAGCAAGGAGGACCGGGACACGGGGAGGACGTATGAAGGGGGAGGGGGCGCAGGCAGGGCAGGCAGGGCCAGGAGGAACGCTCAGGGCTGGCGTGGTGCTGGCAAAGGGAACGTGGGGACTTACAGTCAGAGGACAATCAAGGATGTCAACACTGCTGTCTACACCAACCTAACAGCATCACCGCCACCACAGAAAGGAAGGCAAGGAGGAGAGAAGAGGGGTGGCAATTCAGAGGGTCTGTTAGAGGTTACACGGCGCCCCTGCTGACCCACCGCATCGAGGAGAACAGTGTATAAATACTATAAGGTGTTTTGAAAACGCTGGGTGGAATGAAAGTCAAAATCTAATACTAAGCCCTCTTCCAATGTCTTGAAAACAAGGACGCACTCCAGAACAGGTTAATGGCAAAATCCACAGGAACCTGCCCTTCCACATGTGTGGAAAACAGGGCTTTCTTCCTGATCAAAATAAAAAGGTGCATTTTTTTTCCCTTAGACCACATGAAAAACTAAAGCCCCAAAGGGTTCTCTAGTTCTTTTAACTTCTCTCCTTTATAAAAATAAAATTATTGCCACACAAACAAACAATAATATTCTCTGTGCCTATTCTGGCTCATTGGTTTATGAAATTTTAAACTAAGTTAGAAGAGACAATATTTTTCCAACATCTAGAGCAACAGCAGCAATTCTCCATTTACATTCTTCTTCTGCGCGCGCCCGTGTGTGTGTGAGACAATGGTCGCCTCAAGGATGCAGACAGAGGCCTCTTCATCTTCTGTTCCCAGCCCGGCACTCAGCGTCTGGCCCAGGGCAGGTGATGAATGTTTCATAAAAGATTGAATAAGTACTTTCCACCACCCTCCTCTAGAAACATGAGCTTGGTCCGGGAGGAAAAACATCCTTGTCCTCATTAGGCACTTCTTGGTCCAACTTCAGGGAACTGTCTGCACAAACAATTCCATGGAGAGTATTTTATACTGTCAAGATGATATCAAGGTGTACAGACAGCTATAAATATAGATCTAGGTACATTTTTTATTTGAAATACTAATGATTTTTTTAAGTATTAAATACTAATGATATTTTAATACAAATGCTTTATTTAAATACTAATGGTTTATTTAAGTAAATTGTCTCCACTGACAAATTTAAAACAAACAACTTGCAGAAATTATATTCAAGCAAAAAAATTCTATTCTCTATTCTGTAAAACATTTTTATGGCTATGAAGACTACAGGATTTACTATCTGGTTAATAAAAGATAAGAATTATGGAACTTAATGACTATATGTTGATTTTTTTAAAAACTTGTTTTCAAAGTTGTCAAACTAAAGTTGATTTAAATCTGGAGATTATATACATATATATTAGACGTGGAAAGGTGTTCACACAATCTCATGTCGTGTTAAAAGCAGTTTAAATGAGCAAAGCAGTGTGCGCAGTGCAATCCCATCTGGGATACGGTGTGGGTGGGAGCACCTGCGCAGGCACGAAGCAGGACCCGGGACCTTGGGGGTCCGGAGACAGTGAGCAGGGGCAGCGGGTCTCCCGCTGGCGGCTTGATCACAGTGTCTTTAAAACATCTCCCTTTGGAATCTGTAATTTCTGACTTCTCTACCAAATCTCTTAATCAAAACCTTTTTTTTTATTTTGCTGATCAAAACCACGACTATCTGTAGCAAAATTTGGAATGGATTTCACCACCACGTTTGCCATGAAAATAGTAAGATGAATAGCAAGTAGCTTAAGAAACACGATCCTTATCGTTACTTTTATTGCAAAGACTAAATTAGTCATACGATCCCGGTCCAGCCCAGAAGAGTGGTTTCAATGTGACCTGAAGACACAAAGTACACGCGTCTTATTCATGTGGAGACCCGGAGACCCAAGCTGAACCACAGCACTTTGCGGGGCATGAGCTCTCACACCGCCTGGGGTCCAGCCTCTTCTCCAACAGGAGGAGGGGACACTCCCGCGTAGGGCCAGAGCTCCGCCCCCTCCCCCCCTCCCCCCAGCCCTAGTCCTCCTTGCGTCTGCGCACAGGCCGTCTGATCAGGCACCCTTGGCCTGCCCAGGCTTGAGTACATGAGGGCTGTGTGGCCTCTGGCTCAGCTGCTAGGAATTACCACGAGCTCAGCCTTTAGATATAAATGCAAAAAAGTAGCCCCCACCAAAGTGACCTGCAGCACCACCCCATTCAAACCCAGCCGAAAGCCCAGGCGGGCCCCTCCGGGCTGCAGCTAACACCAAAAGAAAGGAACAGGAAACTCCAAAGTCACTCCGCTCATCGTGCAAAGGGCCCCTGGAATGAGCAAACCAATGACTGGAGAACATACCAGAAACCCTCATATTTAATCGCTGAGGTTTAAAAAGCTTGACAGTGGAAAAAATGAAATACTTGACACAGTGTTCAGTTGATGCTAGCTTTCTAACTTCTTCCAGAACACCGTACTGGCAACCGTCCTAGAGGGCCCCGGCACCTATTCTGATCATTGAAAAACTCATGTTTCCACCCAGTTTTTACACGAAGTGAACTGTGACCAAGGTAACAGTATGTTACACTGATGCGAAAAAAAAACAGGAGTAGATTTTCAGATATGAACTAAATTTCAAGACAAAAATTCCACTTCTCCCCCACCTGCCTCTGTAATGATTCTTTCCTTTCACTGAAGAAAAACCGAAGCTCTACAGGCAAAGGAGAGTCTCAAAGCACGGGTTTCACAGGGCAGGGTGCACTCCGAGGAGGGGGATGCATCGCTCGGTCCTCCCACCCCATGTCCACACTCGGGCTGCGGAAACACCACTGAGTGAAGAGCCCCTTGGACACGAGACCGGCCGTTTCAACCCGGGCAGCCACCTTCGAGTTCCATCCCACAGGTCCCTGGGCAATGTCGACACCTCTCATGGTCTCAGTGTCCTCATCAGAAAAGTGGGATGACGCCTTCCCTGCCCCAGGGAGAGTTCAATGAAATGACATGTTCACAGGGGCTTCTACCTCTGCTTTCTCCAGAGCCTGCAGAGGGGCCACTGTTTCGTGTCTGGGGGCTTCCACGTTGGTTTCCTGTGGTGAAAGGGCTCTACCACTGGAGCATTCCAGCATTCTTCCTCACACAGGGGCCTGCCCATCTACCTCTACCCAGTGCCCACTGAATGTGCGAATGATCCCAGGCTGGCCAGCCAAGCAGCAAGTCCCGGGAGGGTGGGGGGAGGGTTCTCTCTGCAGCAGAAGCTGCCATTCCTGGGCACAGTCTTGCAACGAAAAACATGCAACTCACCTGCCTCCTCTCATCGGGGGCCTTCAGGAAGAGCGCATTGATCACTGCAATGGTGTAGGTTTGAATTTCTTGATCTGTGCTGTAAGACACAGAACGATACAGAAAGTCAGATGCTTTCCCTGAATCAGACCAGAATAAAGTTCACGATCGCCTCCCCCCCAAAAAGGTGAGAAAGGCAGGACCTAGAAAACGCACTTAGCACCGAGAACATTTTTCAACCACCATGAAGCTGGAAACAAGGTGGGGGGAGGGGCTGGGGGGCGGGGGAGTTGCTATTGCTAGTCAGAGAACACACTACTCAGTGGGAACCACAGGAAGTTCAGGTGGCCGCTGGCTCCCTCCTCGTTCTTCTCTGGGAAGATGAACAACATAAACTGAGTGGATGAAAAGTGTGTGTGTGTGTGTGTGTGACGTTTTGCCTGATGCATGACATGTATCTGGGAGTAGACTTGGGGGTCTCTAAGGCCTGAGCTTATTATAAAGGAAACAGCTTTGTCTTCATGGCAATGATATTACATATTCTAAAAATCTATTTCCCAAAAGAAACTTTTTTAGTGACCAGAAGATCAGGTTTTTATATTTATAAATTTTGCTTTTCACCAGAATGAAATCAGTAATTCCATGTAAGGCACTAATGCAAGCCACATGGTAAAGAGTAAATAAAGAGAACCAGGTGTAAATAAAGAGCAGCTAGGAGATACGGTTAGAGACAATTTCGGGAGAGGCGGAGCCGAGAACATGGCCTTTGGTGGGGGGGCGGTGATTCAGGGCCCAGTGTACCAGAGGAGGGCTGTGCAGCCTGGACAAGTTCATGGGTGTCCCTAAGACACAATCTCCTCAGCTGTAACACTGGTAAGAACACATTTATTTCCAAAGGTTGCTTTTTGGATAAAATGAGGTGATGTACATAAAATCCTGAGCAGAGCGCTTGGCCCACGAGAAACTCTCCGCTTTGGCGAATGACACCGTGGCTGCACAAGTCTGCCCCCAAGATGAGAAACAGTCTGCAAAGACAACGCATGTGGTGTTCAGGGAACTGAGGACCAACTGCTGCTGGTAGGCAGGTTTCACAAGGGACCCTCATTCTAGAGCACATGCTTATTTTCCCTGGGGCCACAGTCTTCAGCTTGTGTGACTTAAACCGTTACCTCTGGTCACCATCCTCCCTCCAAATGCAGAAAACATCAAATACGTTTTGGTGGTTCACATTCTAACGTGACAGTGAATGTCTCGGTAGAATGAGAACTGCTGAGTCTCTACCCTGCACCCCCACCCCAAACAGGCATCAGGCTTCCTCTTCAGAATGTGCAGGCGTGGCCTGAGAGTCTGGGGGCAGAGATGGCAGTTACCGGGAGCCCTGTCACATTCGTACTAGGAGAAAGGCCACAGTTTGTGTCCTGCATAAGGCTCAGCTTCTGAAGTCATTCTTTGGTTCCAAAGGCGCCCAGCATCCTTTCAACAAACTCCCTGTTCTGAGTAAGCTCAGGATGTCTGCTGTCACCTTGACCCCAAGTGCTGAAATTTACGAAATAGCTTCTTCTTCAGGGCCCTTCTCAGTCCGTGTCATCGGAGACAACCTTTGTTGCTTATGGGAAGACAGAAGGGGGAAAGCCCCAGCCATAGCAGGCTGCTAGCTAGGGCCACGTCTTGTAGCTTGAGCCTCTAGAAATAAAAAATAATGATGAAATATAAAAGAAGGTCTCTGTAATGACCTGGAGCCTGAAGAGAAAAGCCTGACTCTCAAAATTCTTAACTGACCCTGGAAATACTCACCACGTCACAGAAGACAGAATTGTAAATGACCGAGCAGAGTCTGTTGAGAACCGAAGAGAACAATCTGGCCTATTACCTCGTGTGAAAAGTAAAACTCTATGGATATCTGCCAACCCTGATCAAAACTGGGTGCCTGCTCAGGGCCAGGCACCAGGGACAGAGCTCACCAAGGGGTGAGTCACATGTGATGGGGGCAAGTGTATGCGTGGTTGATGAAACACCAAATCCGGATTTCTCTTCCGTGTACTTAAACCGATAAGCCACATTTCCCAGGCACCCTGGCGACTGCAGCGCCTCCCCTCTGCACAGCGGGGCCTCCGCGGGCTTACCCTTGCAGGTGTGGGATGAGCTGGCCGATGGTGATCTCCTGGGCCACCTTCTGGTAGAGGTCGTGGCTGTTGAGCACCATGGACTCCAAAATGGCCAGGGACCGCTGCAGAATGGAGGTGTCCATGCCTGACTTGTTCACAAAACTTGCTATCTGAAAATCCAAGCAGGACACAGGTGATTGCTCATGGGAAGCGGAGCAGAGGAGGACAGAAGGAACATCAGGAGCTGGTTTAAGAAACACCAGACCCGGGGGACGAAAAGGCCCTGGGGTGGCAGCCACCCAGCAAAGAGCGCACTGAAGAGGCCACCATGACTCTTCGTGACTACGGAGCACTATTTATATCTGATTTCTGTGATTCAATAATAAGCAACTTTTACAGGAGACAATGTCAAAGAATTATTCTGTTTTTTCCAGAACTATTCTGAGTTTTAGCTTTCAAGAGCAGATGATTTTAACACAGACACCCATCCCTGAATGTCCATGGGGCATTGGTTCCAGAACACCCTCAGATGAAACCCATGGATGCTAAAGTCCCTCACATAAAATGAAGGGCATAGTATTTGCATATGACGTTCATTTGCAGAGAGGCTACAGCAGGGTTCGCCGGCACATTTCTGCCTCATCTGAGAGCATTCAGTGTAGTGCCTGGGGCCTGGCAAATTCCAGTGTTGCCTTTTGGAACTTTCTGGGATTTATTTTTTTCTCCAGAGCGTTTTTTCTCTGCAGGGGGAGAATCCATGGATATGAAGCCCACCCATAAGAAAGGCTGACCATGTAGTATAAGGGCCCATGTCTCTCCGAGACAGTAATTCCAACGTACACTGAATGCTATTGCTTCCTGCTCCCAGGCTCCTTCTCCACCCACAGGGTCCATGACTTTTATGTTATTATGATGCTGTTACATTCTTCAGGGACTCCCACAAATCACACTTGTCAACGCAGTTCAACTGGCAACTCCTCAGTCGCTGGTTACGCCTTGTGGGATTCCTCAGCGGAACGCCCTTTCCCCGTCCTTTCATTTTATATGGTTAAAATAAACTCTTCTCTAAAGTTTAGCAAACAGGAAAACCTTTAAATGAACAGTGCGAAAAGTTAAAATAATAGTGTAAGCGCTAACATATATTCCCCGAGGAATTAATACTAAGACCTCAAACATAATAAATCACAATGTAAGAGAGAAGCAAAGTAAAGGTTAGAATGATGGATCTCAGGCACCCAAACATAGGGGTACCATCCAGGTTTGATTGTAGAGGCCTCATTAAAAGTTATCGCTATCTGTTGACAACTCACACTAACAGGCTCTTATTATATCAATACAATGACTGCTTTCTTAAAAGCTAAACCATTTGGTTCCAGGACAAATTGACACTTGCTGCTTCCCTCCGTCAACACTCATTTCTCCCTTTATGCCGTCCCACCGACCGCTTCTCATCTCCTCTCCACCTCTGTACAAGGTAAAAGGCAAAGGTGTCCATGGCAACTTACTGTTACCATGTCAACTGTTTCTAGCCCAAGGACTCTCTGGAGAAAGTAGGGGTAAGGGCACAGACACCCCCAGATATATCTGGATCTCAGAGGGTGGGGAATGAATGATGTAAAGTAGAGTAACATTATGATTTTATATTCCAAACACTATTATTTTATAATATAACCTATGGGAAGAGTATGAGAATTTTAAGATTCTCAAAAGAATTCCGCTGGCCCATCATCCGATCACTTCAGCCCATTTCATGGCTAATAAACTTCTCCAAAGTGTTTACTGCCCCTGGGAAGCCCTGGCCTTTATCCTGGGAGTCTTTTCCATTTCATCAAATCCACCGTTTTTTCCTAAGGCCATTTTTCTCTGACAAGAGTCCAATTCCTCTCAAACTATGCTCACGGCTTAGCTAGACCTCTTCTAAATGGAACAGAAACGCCTTCCCTTCCCATCAGTGCCATCCCAAACATTTCTCGTTATCCCAGCACAATTCTTGGGCACTTGCTGGAAACCTGCAGAACTCCCAAAGAATGTCTTTGACCCTATATCTGATTTTAATCTGTACTAATATTCTCCTCTTTCCAGCACCCTCTGAGGGCCTCCATTTAATAAATTTGCACACATCTCTGAGGGTCCTTGGAGAATTTTCCACCTGAGAGTTTACTGTCAAGCTCCCTCCCACCTGCCAGCCTGTATCCTCTCTTTCCATTCATTCAAGTCACATGCCTTCATTGCACACCACAGAACAGGCTGGGAGCATCTGAGGTCAGAAAACAGAGAGATGAGCAATGCCCACTCTTAACTTCAAGGGCCTTGTAGTCCAGTAGACAGAGATGGAGAAAAAGGCACTTACTATGAAGTACATTAAGTGCTTATGTTTTTTCTTGGCATCAGAAAGAGTACCTCCATTCAGATATTCCAACAAAGGCTAAATAAATCAGGTAGAAACCAATCTCATTGTCTTCCTCAGCCTCCTGTCTCAATGATCACCGTTCCCCAGTTTGCCACACTATCAGTGATTAACAGCCTCAGTCCCCCATTTGGCCCGTCTCCCCTTGGGATGCATTCAGTTTGCATGCACAGCACTGGCCTGTGGCCCACCTCATTCCCACGTTGCTGAGACAGAATCTTCCCCAGAGCCCTCTCACGCAATTTTCCCTCTAACACAAATTCACTCCCAACGGCCATAAACATTCTTGTGTCAATGTTCTGGAACTACTCAATCAGAACTCTGAATATTCTTTTATATAAAGTAACGCCTTCTTACAGTGGGTTTTACTTCATGTAAATACCAGTTATTAACTCTCACCTGAATGGCCTGTGGGCCTTGCTTTGATTCAGGCCTTCTCACAGTCCACTTCCACTTCCCGTTCCTGGAACTAACTGAAATGAACCACTTATCTTCATCAAACCTCTTTAAAATTAATCTTGTATTTGATCTTTTTCTTGACATAGGGAACCCCCCATTTCAGCAATCCTACTGCAGGTTACAAAATGAGACATCTGTGGATGTCACATACCTGGTATTGCTGGTAGAGAGCAGGCTCATAACCCATTATGGTCCTACATACAATTCTCTAGGAGACACTAATAATTTTTTTAATCTAACTTCTATCTTTTGCCTTTCCTTGTCCATGGTTTTAACCAGACATTGAAAGGGCCCAGTATTTTCTTCTAACTATAACAGGGTGCAGCCAAGAGGGGACCCCCAAACAGAAATTTGGAATGGGGTCCAGAACTCAAGGTATCCAGGAAATATTAGAAAGATATATGATGTCCTCACCCCTGTCCTCACACAGGTGTGAGTTGGGGGAAGGGACACATGGAGCAGGAACATGGAGAACTATTTCATACAGCAACAGCTTTGCAGCTAACCTCTGGCATGGTCATTTAACTGGTTGTATAAATATGTGGCCCTGCTTTGAGCCAGGGGGATGGAAGTGACTTCCACCCAGGACTTAACTGGGAGGCAACTCCCCCTGGTTACAGTGCCTGCATTTGACTGCCTGGAGATGACTGGCTCCACGCTACGGGGCCACGCCTGCCCAGACCCACTATGGCAGCCCGGTAAAGCTGGAAGGGTATGGGAGTGCTGGCAAGTCTTAACAATTGTGGGAGGAGTCAGAAATAGGGTTGCAGAGGAAGATGGGCGCTGGGATTTAAATCCAGACGTGGTAGCCACTAAAGGGAGAACCACATTATAACAGGGCACAGCCAGGAGGGGGCCCCCAAAAAGAATTTGGAATGGGGTCCAGAGCTCAGGGTGTCCAGGAAATATTAAGATGTCCTCACCTCCCCCCAGGTGTCAGTAGGGGGAAGGGACAAATGGAACAGAGCCATTGAGAGTTGTTTTGCATAGCAACAGTTTTGCAGCTAACCTCTAGAATGGTCATTTAACTGGTTTCATAGATATGGTAAATAGCTGTGGCCATGCTTTGAGCCAGGGAGAAGGGAGTGGCTTCTACCCAGGATGTAACTAGGGGTTGGTCCCCTGAGTTACAGCACCTACTGCCTGTGTGGGAGCTTGGAGAAGACTGGCTCTAAGACATGGGGCCATACCTGCCCTGACTGACGATGGCAGCCCAGTAAATTTGTAATAATACAGAAATACTGGCAGGTGTAACTGATTGTAGGAGGAGTCAGAAATGGGGCTGTAAAGGAAGATGGGTGCGGAGATTTAAGCCTAGACCTGGCAGCCACTGGAGGCGGGGGGGAACCATGTGGTTTCAGCCAGAGTGCAGACCCCTGCAGTCATTGAAAGGGAGAGCCATGCGGTTTCAGCAAAGGGTTCCCTCTTGGCCAGGTGAAGAGGAAGCGATGCAGTTTTGGCAGAGTGCGGACCCTCTCTTTCCCAGGTGAAAGGGAAAATCACGCAGCTTTGCCAGAATGGAGATCCCTGCAGCCAGGTGAAGAAAAAAGCCACATGCTTTTGGTGGAGTGTGGACCCCTGCTGCCTTTGGTAGAAGAGGCCCACACAGCTTTGGGATGCTCCCTTTGGCTGCGTGGCCTGGAAAGCAGAAGAGACTTTGACTGGAACTTGGTACAAAGAACTCTTGCCAGTGGACCATGAGAGGGTCCCACATGACTTTGGATTAACTAGAGAGAGATCCTGCCTGCATGGCAACACAGCTGATGGTACCAGCGGCCTGAAACACAGACGTGTGCTTCTTTCCCTGAGATACGGTACCCCAAATTAGGGCAGGGGCGAAAAAATAGCTGTGGGCATCTGTGGTTATCTTAAAGGACTTTGACATTTTAGTGGAGGCGTTAGGCCTGAATAGCATTAAATAAACATTTTGTTTCCTTTTCACAAATCTCTGGCGTTGAGAGATATCTTTCCAATTGGCAGCAGACAGAAGAGCCCAGTAGATATTCGTATTCAGTCCTTGGGAGGAGCCCCTGTTGTTCTGTAGCAGTTTTTGACATCCCTAGGTGGGCCAAATATTGCCCCCCCTCGGACCCCTGTTCGGTAACAACATGGCTTTGGCCAGAGTGGAGACCCCCACAGCCATGTGAGGGAGAATCACATGAGGCTTTAGCAGACCCCCATAGCTTTGCAGAGGAGAACCACAAAGCTTGATCCTGGCCGATAACACAGCTGATGGTGTTGGGAGCCTGAATCTGCTGCTTTTCCTGAGATATGGTACCCAAATTAGGGCAGAGGGCGAAGGAAGGACTGTGTAGGGCTGTGGGTATCCTAAAGGACTTTGGTATTTTAATGAAGACATTAGGTCACTACTTTAAGTCTGTATATCTCTAAATAAACATTTCCTTTTCTTTTCACAAATCTCTGGCATTGAGAGATGTCTTTCCTCTGGTGGTGGACAAGCAAACCTAGTGGGGGCTCTTTTCGGTAATAGTGTATCAGCCCCCCACCCGCTCCCTGTTCCGTAACATAACGGGTACTAATAACCAAGGCCTTGGGGCCAATTAAGCAAACATGACGACTGTAGCCAGGCTCCATATCAGATCATGTGCAAATGCTATTCAGTGTCTACTTTAAAAGGTAAAGACTGTCCAGTCAAATTTTAATTTCCCCTGTCACTCCCTCGCCCCCAAAATCAATAAAGACTTCTTTTGCCTTCACATTTTTTGAAGTTCCATTGCTGCCCTTTAGGCAGGCTTATGTGGCAGAGTCTAAGCCAGCCCAAGTACAGCTTCTTGAAAGGAGATCTATAGCATAAGGAAGCAGGGGGCAGAGAGGCTAGCAAGAATTACACACACTGCCTCCACATGCTGCTATCCGTTTACAAGTGTTATGTAAACAAAACTGAGGACTCTCTGGGTGACCTTAAGAAGCTAAGGGTCTTCACAGTGCATGAATCAATGACACACTATTAGAACCACATAAACTCTTCTCAGAATCACTTAGAATGAGGTCTTAAATTCTCCCATGTTATCAAAACCAAAATGAACCATGGAGAGCCTGGAGCTCTGCTCCTGTAAGTTAAAGTGTCCAGGCAGAGGCCATAAATCTCCCAAGTTTTTCAGAGGCAACAATTACTGGGTCTCTAAACCGAAACGGCTGGATGCGTGTCCAGCACTGGAAACACCGCAGGGTGATCCGGGCCCTCCCGCAGGGCTGGGATTTCCAGAGCATATGTATGGCACCTCCCTGCCACGAAAAGGCACCAATGTTACCCTTGGCAAGGAAAAAAAACAACTCGTAACGCAGAAAAGTTCCAGGGTTTTTTTCAGTTTGGTGTTTTTCTTCTCATTTCTTTTTTCTCCCTGTCTCCTACCCTCTCCCTAAAGTAGTCAAGTCTTTAAAAACCAACAACACTATATATCAGTGTTAAGGGATTCCAAGCATCAAAGGGCTTGTGAAATTCTGTTATTTTTTGCAAACACAGTTTGTAACTAGAATCTAAGTCCACACATAACCAAATGGACAAAGTAGTAGCATAGGAGATAGGGGCTGGTGGGGACAAAACACCTCCCCAAAGTGCTATGAATTTGGCTTTAACAGGAAGCCAAGTCTGTATCGCAGAGATAAGCATCTTTTGTCAGTGGATTTTGGTCCAGATAAAGCTCCATTGAGAAGACAGTTGTCCACATACAATGCCTGGGTTGTCAGATGCTGAATTTGATCCAGCTAGAGAGTGAAAAAATTAATCTTGCAATAACTATCGATTATAAAGTGATTTTTGGATGACTGCCTTTTGAATTCACATTTGAAGTTGAGATCTAATTGGCAAAAAAAGGAAAGAGAATGGGAACAAGGCCATGGATTAGGTTAAATGTGTTGCCTTCTGAAAAAAATATCTCATTTTTTTAATGAAAACTATCAAGATTGTTAGTCTCTGCTTCTTTCATTTCTTAGAACCTTTCATTTTATTCCAGTGAATGGAAAACATTTTCTTAAGCAGTTGGGAAGTTAAATTATTGTCATTCTTTCTCACCACTTCTCACATCATTTAAAAAAGAGAGCGTGGTCATTCCTTTCCACTTAGAACCGAAATTTTACTTGAAATACACTTTGATACGATGCCTCTGTATTCCTTCTCTCCTTCAAGTTCTAGGGTTAAAAAAATGCTTCTGAAGCAGATTTCATGCATTCATTTCACAGATATTTATTAACAGATATTTATTAACGTCGGTGCCAGGCTCTGAGAACAGCGTCACTGAGAAAGCGCGGTTCCACCTTCCTAGGACTCACAGTCCAGTGGGAGACCCATACCAGTGAATCGAAAAGTCACAGAAGTGTGACAAGTGCTGGAACAGGGACAGTCACGAGACAGGAGGGGACTCAGAGCAGGAGGAATTGCGTAACTGTACACCAGAGAGGTCAGAGACGGCTGAACAAGAGGCAGCGCTGGTGGCCAAGTCTTCAGAGGCTATTCTCTCTGCCACTTGAAAACAAGGACAAGTGCGTGAGCATGGGGGCAGGAGCCTGAGCCAGGAAACCAAGGACAGCCTACTCACTGAACCTCCGAGCCACTGTGTCCTTGCCTCCTGACCAGAAATAACAAGACCCTCTCTGCTGGAGAGGATTCCTGCTGGGATCGAAAGAAGTAATGTTTGTGAACACACAGGATGACTCCCAGGAATTTGCCTTCAGAAGAGCGCTGTTTTTATAACAAAAAAAGGCTCCAGTAACAGAGGGCAAGGCAAATGGAATGGAGGAAAGGAGGCCTGCCATAAATTCAGAGTAAGTGAAGATTTTTGTTGAGTATCAAAAATCCACAAAAACCAGGATCTTCAGATTGAACTTGCTTCTCCAGAACCTTCACCTGAGAGAGACAAACAAGAGCAACTTGCCCTCTGCTTTCACAATCTGTGGCTCACCTTTCTTGCTACCTGCTCAGGAAGTCCCTCATAACACTTCAGATTTCCTTTGGCTTTCTCATCTCTAATCCCCCCCCTTTTCTTTTCAGCGATTTTGATAGAGAGGGAAAAAAGGGCCTACACCTTTTATGGGTGTTTTCTAAGTGGGTCCCACTGCTCATCACCCTTGGCTTTACACCCCTGTGGAAGGCAAGAGGCTCAGAGGCATGTCAAGAGCACCCCGGGTTTCTGATCAGCTCTCGTCTGAAATACACATGCAGCATCATCCAGGGGTCCAGTCTGTGGGGGTCCTTTCCTGATACCCTCATTCAACAGACTAGGGGCTCTGGTATGTCCTTCAATTCAAGGCAGTTATCTCCCTCAAGATATTAACTTTGAAAGGAAAAAGAATAACTTTACAGCAGGGAGACTCAGCAGATGCCACCTCAGCCACACGGTCAAGGTCAACATCACTGTTAATGAAGACATATGGCCAGTAGGTGCCCCACTGTGATGCACTGAGCAGGACACAACATTACTTCTCTAGCATTCTTGCCAAAAATGCATAACCTTAATTCAACCATCAGGGAAGTATCAAAGAAACCCAGATTGAGGGACATTCCACAATATAAGTGCTCAGTACCGCTCAAGAATGTCAAAGTCACAAAAGATAAGGAAAACTTGAGGAACTTTCAGACTGCAAGACACCAAGGAGACATGACAATTGAGTGCAGTGCAGGGTGCTGGACGGGGTCCTTAACCGGGGAAGGGACATTAGAAGAGAAACTGATGAACCCCAGTACTGACAATAGCATCGCGCCACTGTTGCTTTCTCAGTTGTGATCAACGGTTGTGCCATCAATGGTTGTGCAAAACGTTAACATCAGGGGAAGCTGGGTGAAGGGCACACGGGAACATTCTATATTATCTTTTGCCACTTTTCTGTCTGTCTGCCATGATTTCAAAATAAAACATTTACAAAATTCTAGCGACCTACCTCCACTGAGTTTTACTTTGATTTTCCAGCTTTTGCAAAGATTCTCTGAAATTCCTTATTTTAGAAAACCCTTCCCAGGAACCTACACTCTTAGAAAGTAAATTTATGCATTCTGAACATCTCTTCCTGCCCAATACAACAAAAGGAAGAAACATGCCATTCCATTTATAAACCATTTCACAAACACAAAGAGAGGAAAAATAAGCTAACAAATTAATAGTAATAACCCCTCATTTAATAGTTATAAAGATGGGAAGCAGCGCTCTAAGTGTGCAGGTCTGCCGTTATGTCGGCCAGCTGCAGGTTTGGTGGGGGGGCTCCCTCACTCTCCCCACAGGAGGTCCCTTTATAAGCTCCTCCTATGGAAGGAGGAGCCAGTGGAACTGACCAATCACAGAGATGCTTACTGCACCCTCCTGACAAGGGAGCAGCCTTACTCAGCCCAAGAGGCAAGGACTTCCTTCTCTTACTGCCTTGCTTCTGACCCAGCCATGCAGGAAATGAGTGTACTGGGAATTTTTCCCTTTTCCTGAACACAGGGTTGAGGGTGGAAGATTCAGGAGGAGCATCAGCAACTGTGTGTTGGTCGTGAGAACAGCAGAGCCCTGCATTGGGACACAGCGCACACTTGTGTGGCCTTAACAACGTGGCATCTTGACTTTTCTTGACTGTGGACTCTCTGTGCAATCCCTTAAGATCTCAGTGGGGAGAAAAATACCATTTTCACATATAATTTAGGCGCCCTGACCCCTTTACATATAATACTATCAAAAACCCACCCACCTTTTAACAAAGATCTAATGAAAACAACTCTTAGACATCCTCCAAGCAGAGAATAATATCCAGGAATGGAGGAAGCGATTTAAGCCCCGGTGGCACCACGTGCATTACCTTCTTAATGAACGCCACTGAAAATGTATCCCAGGACACTATGCCGTGGTCCATCAGCTCCACAAAGGCCGTCAGGGTGAAGGACAGCATGTCTCCAAAGCTGGAAAACACAGGGAGGCACAATGGTCACAGGCCAGGAGCGGGCACAAGGAAAGACCCAGAAGGGACAAAGCCCCTTTACTGTCCATGGGAACCAACAGGGAAGATGAGGAAAAACACTCTCAAGAGCATTAGCACTTTGCAAAGGATCTGCATGGTCCCTGTGTACCTGCGTGTGTGTGCGTGTTCTGTCTTTACACAATATCTATGGAAATAACGACAGTTGGCGGGCAACGGTAACAGATTCACTGTGGCTCAGACACCTGCAGGAAGGGTCTCTTGTGTGTGTCAGACACCCAACCAGAAATGCAGCAAGTTCAGGGGACAGCTGTTTTGTCCCTTATCAGACAACATTCTGATTTCCAGTGCCTTCAAACCAACACTTCAACGGACACAAATCTTCAACAGAAACTCACCTCTCCTATAAATTTTCATCATAAAAAATATTCACTGGAAACTTTCCAGAGCTGTTCTCTGCAAGTTCATTGCTTTTGCTCATCAGGACTTCTACACTGTGCACAACCTCAGTGACTCATGGGCTTGGTTTTTTAAAAAATAAAGTTGCTTGTTCACATTTTCAATCTGTAGATTCATATACGCCACCACTGCTACACTACAAGGTCTCATAAAATGTGTGCAGTGACTGTTCCCATCAATTTTCAATTAATAGAATAGAAAGCAGGCTTGTGTTTCTCTTAAGACAGCTGCACAATTTTCCTTCTTCCTCGTGTACTCAGTCTATAGCCTCAGTCATGACCTTGGAAAGCCAACTTCATCCAGAAGCTTTGGTGCTGTAAAGAAACCTACAGGGGAGGATGCAGCTCTCAGGAAAGGGGCCCTGAGACACGAGGGACAGAAATGGGTAAGCGTGTGATTCCTGGAACCAGACAGCAGACAGTCCCCTCCAGCTCTCTGTGGGAGTTTTCTGATGCAGTCTCTGCCTCAGTTTCCTCATTTATTAAAAAAGGGGACAATGATGCTAGTGGTGGTGGTGATGATACCTAACCCTGGGGATTGTCCGGGGAGGTAAAACAAGCTACCGTGCTGAAAGCCCTCCACGCAGCAGGCAGAGGGTAGAGAGTAGCCTTTGAGTGTGAGCTGTGATCGTTATGCAAATGTTGTGTTTTAACAAGGTAACTGGGGCCTGTGATTTTCAAAATGTTTACCCTTTGTTGTGTCAAGATTATCTGTCTCTGGAGCCAGAAAAATAAAACTGGCAGGAAAGCCACACCACTCAGGCTGCACAGAGAAGCCACAAATGCTTTTTTAAAAAGGCTTTTTTTCTGAGTCACAGCTGGGCAATCCCCGTCCTACAGGTGCCCCTAGGTGGCATCAGAGGATCACAAGCCAGTAAAGAAATTCCAGACAAGAAAATAAACTCCCGTGAAGGAGAGAAAAAGAGACAGACAGGAGAAAAATGGGTTGAAAACAGTAGCAAGAAAGAGTAATGAAATTCCCGAATGACTCTTTCTACAATGAGTCAAGGAAATCCAAACATTAGACAGAAAGAAAGCAAGCCAGATAATAAAGTATTAGTAAGATTTATTAATAGATTTTGCAGGCATTAGTATAATAATGTAACCACAATTACATTATTATACAATAATGTGTACTGTTTGTAGTAAAACTATTTTAGCTAACTTATTATTTTATTACAGTATTAGTAGTACACAGTATTAGCTAAATGTTTTGACTAAAAAAAAAGAAAAAATGGCAAGCATATCACTAATGGTTGCCGTTTGCTCACGCCTGGCATGCCACGAGACCTCACCCACTAAAAGATTCCCACCTGCAGGACTGGGGGCAGCGCTATCTGCTCCCGACTGAGCCCCAGAGCGGCCTCAATGTCACTGCTAGCAGAGCAAGCATGCAAAGGCAGTGACGAGCAATGCACGCACTGTGGGAATCAGACTCTTCCTCACATTCCCCGTAGCTCGCTGAGGCTGGGTGGACATGGCATTGGTCTTCATGAACCACTTCAGAAGCAAAAGCTCAATTATATTTATGCTTCTAATTATCTGAAGGCAAAATGACTTTACACCTCGCTCAATGAACCCACAATCCACGTGGCCTTGGTAATGTCTGGGGATGGTCCCTCATCTCCAAATGCTCCAGAACGCTGCCTACAGACTCCTTCTGGAAGGGCCTTGGAAAAAATATGGAGAGAAAGGGGACCAGTCTCATTTGGTCTGCAGACCTCCACGCTGCTCTGGGGCCAGTGCTTCTACCTCCATGGTGGTTAAGGAGGTGCAGCACCAGTTCTAAGACAGCAGACAGGGCTGCCTGTGTTGTACGAATTACCCATCAGTGTGAATGATCAGTAAGCGAGGGAAGAAAAGCTTCTTCACATCCTACACCCAAGCGCCCAAAGGGAGGATTACTTTCTTGATCCATCTAACAACATTTTATACACATGTGATATGACATATTTTATATAAATATTACCTAATAACATTTATATCTATTTTATATAGGTATCAATATAATTACATATTATATATTAAATGGTATACATTATATAGATGTTTTCACCATGTTATGATGCATGAATGCCATTAGATACACCTATATATGCTGTGTTGCCTATTATATTATTAAATATATAATACACACAATATACTATGTATACAACATATAGGTAACATTTATAATTCATTATGACTGGTTGCTGGATGGCACACCAGCTTTCCAGGAGGGAGGACTTTTTCCAAAGTCCACTGCAAACCCTCAGCTGCAAGGGCAGGATGGCCACACTAACACGACATTTCACTCCAGATCAGTGGACTCACTGCTTCGTTTCCAGGATGAATGGGAGCTCTCACCCCACCCAGGTGCAGGCGTGGACTCCCACTCCCACCAGAGGGGTGGTGTCAGCTGCAAGGACAGGAAGACAGGAGCCACGCCTGACCTCTGAGCCCCATGCTGGGTGCCTCAGATCAAACACAGAACAACTCCCAGGCCCCTGTGGGAGCACTGTGAGTCGTTGGGTTTATTAATGTTGCATGCCGCACTCAGGTAAAGATTTTGCAGTGCTGCCTGCCACAAATCACGCCAACCGTACACTCCCTAAGCTGGTGAAGAGTCCCTGGACCAGCCAACACATCCTGTGTGCTCACCTACTCAGTAGAGACCATCTTCATTCCAGCAGGTTTCAACCAACCTCCCAGCACTGGAACGCATGCTGCTGGGTTTATAGAAGAACAGTGCTTCTAAATGTTTCCATGGGGTGCCGTGCCCAAGATAAGTGGAGGAAAGGGGAAGTAAAGGGCAGTTTTAAAGCTCTCCATAAATCACACTGAATACATTCTAAATTGCCAACGTTAATGAATATAGTTCTGGCCTGTTCTATGAGTTTTTCCATGTATAGCAGGTTCTTGAATAACATCATTCAGTTTAATGGCATTTTGTTATAATGTTGATGAGATGCCATAAGCAGTTAAATCTTGTTTATATCAATTAGCCTGTGGTAAGACTGCTTTCCCTCTGCAATGTTTTGCCGTGTCTTCAAGAACCTATGGATGAAGCTAAGTAGGGACTTACTAATGTCTCTTTTCTGTGTGGTAAAGTGTATATATATTGAACCGTATGGATTTCTACATCACCCTTTAGGCCTCGCCTTGACCTTCAGAATTAGAGCATGATTTATGTCAGTGGACATTCTTTTGGCTCCTTTGTTAAAAATTTAACTCTGGGTCAGTTCTAGACTCTTCACGCCATTGACCTCTCCATCCCCTTATAAAAATATCACACTGTCTTAAGAACTAACTTTATAGCAGTAAGTCTTGAAATCATTTCATGAAATCCCTCAACTGTGTGGATCTTTGTTGTATTTTCAAGACTGTTTTGGCTATTCTATGCATTTCTTATAAGCTTTAAGACTGGCTTATAGTATCTTTTTTAAAAAATTGTATTGCACTGAACCTGAAGTTAAATTGAGGGAGAATTACTATCTTAACAATACCGTGTCTTTCAAACCCTGAAACGGTACCTTTTCCTCTTATTTAGTTTTTTTGTTTCTTTTGGCAATGTATTTATTTTTCATTAAAACAGATAGTGCATGTCTCTTGTTAAATTTATTCTTAAAATTTTTGTGATTTTTGATACCTTGTAAAGAAGTTTTTAAATTTCATTTTTCAGTTATTTATTGTTAGTGCATAAAAATACATCACTTTTAAATACTAGTGTTGTATCCAGAAACCTTGCTAAATTCAATTATGAGATCTAGCAATGTCTTTGTAGATTTCTTGGGATTTTTCACATAACAATCACATCTTCTACAAACAGAGTTGGTTTTTACTTCTTCCTTTCTGATCATACATCTTTTATTTCTTTCTTGACTTATTGCTATGGCTAAAAACTCTAGTACAATGTTGAACAGAAGTACAAAACACATTTGCCTTATTTCCAGTCTTTAGGGGGAGTAAGTTCAGTCTTCTAATGTTAAGAAGAATGCATTTTTGTCACCTTTATGAGGTTGAGGAAGCTGCCTCTATTCCCAGATTGCTGAGAATATTTATGAGTGATGTTGGATTTTACTAAGTGCTTTTTCTATAACTATGATATATTTCCTGTATCTATTAAGATTATGTTTTCTCCCTTCTTTTACTAAGTGCTGAATCACACACAGTGACTGATTTCCAAACATTTCCATTCCTGAAGTAAACCTTTACTGGCTGTGAGGCAGTATCCATTTTATATATTGCTTAATTCTATTTGTAATATGTTGCACCTCTGTTCATTTGGTGATCTGTAATTTTTATTTCCTGGATTGTCTTTCTCAGGTTTTGCTATCAGGGTGACTCAGCATCGTTACTTAGTCTGAGTAAGCTACTCTGCCATTTCAAGAGCCAGGGCCCTGAGCAGTGATCTTGCCCATGAGGCATGAACCAAAACCATGGTTCCCACACAGTCTCACTTCCAACATCTCTGCGTACCTAAGAGTAAAATGACTGGAGATGAATTTTAAGGCATCGCTTAGGCTTCAGAGCTCCAGATTCCTCGACATTAGCAAGTTGCATGAGGTTGTTAAAAGGAAAACTCAGCTTGAATCCCGTTGCACCACCTGATTTCAACTCCTGCATGACGGAAATGATGCTAATTTTACCAGTCCTGTGTGGCAGCTACCAGTGTGAATCAGAGTAATGAGTGCAAATACGCGGAAGTGCCCAGGCACTTTCCAATAAACTCTCATCAAAGACGGCTCAACCTTCATCACCCTTCAATGCTTGTACTATATGAAAAATAGGCATCAAAGTAAGATTTCACAGGCTTTATCCTAAAAACCCAAGACTGCTTTCTATCCTTGATTGCGATTTAATAACTGAAGATTTCCTGCAACCCACGTCTTTCTGTGTGGAAGGGCAGGAGAGGGCAAACCATTTGAGAGCAAGACCCCCGCTACCTTGGGGGTCAGGGGTCAGGGGCAGAAGGTGGTCAGGGTTTCCTCTGAGGGCTTACAAACACCCACTTTCAGGTGCTCTTCGGTCTGGCTCCTCAAACTGAAATTATCTGCCTGACAACTCAGCCAAATGGAAACGTGTTCAGCCTCCTACACGGAGTTTGTTAGACGTCTTCGGTCTCATCTTGTTAAGTGGATAAGAAAGGCACTGAGGAGTAAAAGCTCTAAGGTGGAAGAAGTCCTGAGAACTCCAGGCAAAATGATGGTGAGATTCACTTAAGACAGGGGACTGAGGACTTCCTCCAACTCAAAGGAGATCATTTTCACTCCACACTTCAACCCAGAGTTTTGTGTGGGTTTTTTTGACTGAGCCACTGAAGAAAATCAAAGGCCTTTGACTTTGAACATCATATAGGCCGCCAAAGAGAAAGTTTTTGTTTAATGCAATACATAAAATCATGCCTCGCCCTGCTCCAGAAGAAGGGTAGCCATCCTTATGGGCTCATTTTGTGGTTGCAAACATAAAACGCCCTTTCTGTCGCAAAGCCGAAAGAAAAGGGAAATAAAATTTTAAAGGACCTGTTTATAAGAACATCAAACAGCAAAACAAAATCACTTACTCAAAATAGCTACATGCACAGCTATCAGAGGACTGGGCTAACAATGCGGAGAAGCAGAGGGTGTTATATAATCGGAATCAACAATCGTAAATTCTTACCAAGGCTTCATGATCTTCTGCAACTTCTGGTATCGTCTGCAAAAGTGAAGAACAATCATGTGAGAAGCAGGTCTGAAAGCAGTGATTTCTACACAAGTTACGTGTCTTGAAGACAGACTTGACTGCCATGACATAAGGAAACCTTATTCACACTGAACCGTTATTCAAAGAAATAAACTGGTGTTTTCTAATGGTAAGAAATAATAAAAAGACAAGATTAAACTACTGTAATCAACCTATAAAATTTACTTATGAGTAAAGGCAACAAGAACACTCCATTTGCCTCAGAACGAATTTATGTTCGAGGCAGAAAAATCCCAGGAGGAAAGAATAGGTACATTTTTAATGAAAAAGGTGAAGCCTAAAAGTACCAGACTGGTTATTCTTAAATATATCCTCAATAATGAAGACACTGTGGCCTATCTTTCTTGGGTAAAATGTCCACTGATTTTACTTTCCCTTCTCGTGAGAGAAAAAAAAATCTGAAGGAAGACATGCTGAGACACTGCAATAGTCTTGGACAACAGATGGGACTCTGGGGTGGTAGCCTGCAAAAAAAAAAGTGTGCAAGAGACAAATCTTGTCTGCAAGAAAGGCCCATGATGCTTCTTCTTAAAACCCTGGGGTCATGAAGATAGGGGAGCAAGCGCTTCTAACCTTATCCAGCCACCTGCATTCCCCGAGGCTGCCAAACCTCTCTGGCATTAAGTATCCTCGTCCCTCTGCATTGACTACACTACTCCTCCAGTCCACCCAGCAAAGTCCTACCCCAAACTGTCCCTTTGGAGCCTCGCTCTGATTTCCCTTCCTTGACCAGAGTGAGCCCACCCACATCCGCCCGTGCTGAGGCTACCACAGCCTTGAGGCTCAGGACATCTACTGCCTGTCCCGCTCCGAGGGCAGGGCCTCCGCACAGTGACACACCGCCCTGATGCAGAGTTAGGGTAGGTCCTCTGTAAGGGGTTGATGAATAATGTGGCTCCTCCGAAGTGAGGTTTCACATTTGAACCACATACAACGTAACCACTTCAGAAACCTAACTGACCACAATATCAGATCTGGTCTTAGGTAAAACTGGGGGATTAAAAATGTATATAAAGAGATATTCCTCTTCCTTCTCCCCTCCTTTACTTGTCCTTCTTCTAAACAAAAATAAGAGAGTGTTGGCTTATGCATTAATTACAAATTATTAATTACAAATTGACACTACAGTGTCAATGCCTGGAAGGCGCTATTTTAAGCAGTCAAAGGGAACACCAGTAATGAGACAGAGAGACCTCATATATGTGTGGTCAATAGGGTGCAACTAGCCCTGGCTAGTGTAACTCAGTGGATTGAGCGCGGGCCTGCAAACTACACAATCGCAGTTCGATTCCCAGTCAGGGCACATACCTGGGTTGCAGGCCAGTTCCTACCAGGGGACACATGAGAGGCAACCATACATTGATATTTCTCTCCCTCTCTCCTTCCCTTTCCCTCTAGAGCTAAATAAATAAAATATTTAAAAAAAAATAGGGTGCAATTAAAAAAGCAAACACACACAAGCATCCGTGATATCCCAGCCAGAGACATATACATAGGTCTAAACTTTGGGTAAAACTGTGGGGGGGTGGGGGGGTTTCTACGGGAAATCACGCAGTGTTTATACGGAGCCCCCTCCTCTGGGTTCTCCCACTGCAGCCTTATCGTCCAGCCGATGCATGTGTATATCCTGTCCTGTCTGTTAGCAATTTGACTTCTTCCCTGAAGGTGAAAAACCAGTTTTGTCTCCATTTGCAATTCATTTCAACATTCCTGGGCTCCAAATAAATTTGAGCCCTTTTAACTTTTCCTTTGAAATGGTTAAAACATTGTGCCTGATTCTCTCATTTCCCATGAGTGAAATGAATTCTTTTAACATGCGTTCATTTTTATGTAAAAGTCATGCTTTTATCTTTCTCCTGAAAATTACCTTTAATAAACGACCTTTTAGCAAACCCGAATTTGATAGTCTACAACATGGCTGACCTGTGTTCTTAACAAGTGCCCAGGTGGTCAGTGAAAAGAGAAGAGAAAGAAAGAGTTCCAGATTGAAGGAGATTAGGGAGAGATGGCACAAGTGCGTGCACGGTGCTGCCTTCAGTTCTATCTTTATATTGATATTAAAGCACACGTGTGGGAAAGCTGATGAAACTTGGCCTTGTGACTTTTCCATTCAGCGTGTGAATGCTAAATTAATTAAACCAGGAGGTCAGTGGACTGAGGCAGTGCTAATGCCTTGGTGGCCAATAAAAGCCAACTCAGAATCTAGGCCAGTCACTGCCTCAAGGTTTCAACCCATCACAGCCAACTAGGCTTTAACTGTAGCCAATCAAATAATTCCCTCATTTTGCTCCACCTCTTCTCTATAATAGCCTTTCCCTCTGGGGCAGGGGCACCCAACCTGCGACCTCTGGCCCAGGAGGGCTGTGAATGCGGCCCAACACACAATCATAAATTTATTTAAAATATTATAATTTTTTGTGTGTGATTACATGTCACAGTGTATTTAATGTATGGCCCCAAACAACCCTTCTTCCAGTGTGGCCCAGAGACCGCAAAAAGTTGGACACCCCTGCCCTGGGGGTATCTGCTGGGGCAGAGTCCCTAACCACCTCCAGTTTGGGGTGATGGATTTGAGCTGATTTTTGCTCAAATAAATTCTTAGAATTTTATTACACCTCAGTTTATCTTTGAATGGAAACATTTCAAAACAAATTATAAAAGTGTGTGTATATGTAAGTAATACATAAAGCAGCCCCTGAAATTTTTCAAAGCAGCCTTCCAGCCTGGGTGCCTGAGCGCCCTCAGGTTTCTGTGTGTGTCCCACCTTCCCGAGCCGCCCTTGGCCTTGGCAAATTGCCCCTGACCAGAGAGCAGAGATAAATTCAGTGCCATGTCACAAGTCATGGTGTTTTCCTTCTCAACTTCCTCCTGCTAGCTTTGCGTGAAGCAAAAGCAGAAGAGGAACTATTTTGTTGCGATGTCTGTTTTCCTAACTGAGGTTCTTTCTCTGTGTGTCTCACAATACCCCTTTTTAAAGCTACGTGAGGAGGAGCCCAAATGTTTCTGGAAAGGCTGATGTTTCACAGTGGCCCCATGCCTTTCCTTTCAGCCCAAGAGATGGCATTCTTTTACAGCAGAAGACAATCTCTCCCATCAGGCTGTGGGAGGCTTCTCCTTTCCATCACCAGGGAGAGGCACAAAGATGCACAGACAAAGCAAACAGAGGTGGGGTGGAGGGAGATCAAGTTTGGGGAAGTTTCTGCCCCAGGGCCCCTGACAAAGCCCAGAAGGTTGGCCCCTCTAGTGTTTGTGATGCAAATAGCCAGCCAGGCAGCTCTCCTGGAACTCCTGCAGCCCTGCTGGGTACACGTGCCAGGACCGCAGGCAGGGGGCGCTGCACACCCACAGCCATGTAGCTGCTGAGCCCACAGGCCACCACAGGGAGCAGCTTCTGTCCGGGTCCTGGGAGCTGTTTGCTCTTCCAAGGGGAAGTGCAGGCGTGCGCAGAGACCTGCACTCGGCTCCAGAACAGCCCCAGTTTCTAAGCCACGCCAAATTCTCAGAAGCAAGAGCGTGAGTTACAGCTGATAATCCCTGTCTGTAGGGACGAACAAAGTGACTTTCAGAAAAGAAATTCATCTTCTGTGTGAGGACAAAATTTCAAAGAAGGCCATACGCAGTCCGAAACTGTCAGCGGCCACAGTGCGTCCCGCCCCCACCCCAAGTGCCCAACCCAGGGTCAGGAGCATCCAGCACTCAGATAACACCCACTTTGCTAAATGAATAAAACCCACAAGTCCACTCTCAAGTGTGAGCGCTGGGCAACATCAAAGACAAGTCATCGTTCAGGAAGCCCAGCGCCAGGCATACTTCAGTGTGCTCCCAGAAGACACTGATTCCAGCGAGGAGAAAAGGCATCGAATAATGGAAGTTTAACATAAAACTGCTCGTGTTAATGAACATGTCCACAATCTTTATAAACACAACCACATATAACTAACTAGACACACACGCAGGAGGACCATCTCTTCTGGGTCATGTGTATGACAGCATGGGGAGGGAACTCACAGTTGATACAATTAATGCTGTTTGTTTTTACGACCATCACTGGGAGGCTTTCCTTACGTCTAAAATAACTGCGGGACTCTTTCCACTGTTCCTGATACAACCAAACTTGGGAGGAACGACTTCAAACTGAGCAAATATAAAGTACTTGTAAATTCCCCATATCAGGGTGAACTCACACCCCTCACTGCTATTTTTCTTAGAAAAGCTAGAATCTCTAAGGAAACATCAGCTCCGTATTGACCAGAGTGTTAGAAATGGCAACTCTCATGCCCCTAATGGTCAAGTATAAATTAAGATGCTTCAGCAAGCTATGAGGACATTCTTATTTTAAAACAGCTTTAAAACTGACCATAGGCTTGGAATCAGGAATTTTACCCCCCAAAAATAATTTAGATTCTCACAATGATTTTGCTAAATGACAAGCTGATCGCAAAATGCTCACAATCATGGGGAAAAAATGGAAAACAGTGTAAATGGTCAACAGTAGGGAAACAGTTAACCCATCCATCCCATGTCATCACACTATGTATCAACTGAACCCCAAGGAAGCTTTAAAAGTGAAATAATATGCAGACCACAGACAGGATGAGGGGCCCAACCTGGGGTCACATGAAAATACTGTCAGATGCAGAGGGCAGGCTACCAAAAGCACGACTGTCGTAATTCCACTTTTGTGAGACCTGCGCTTGTGTGCGGGAATGTAAAAGAACAGACGAAAAGTGTGTACACCACCAAGTGACAAATGTCTGCCTCGGGAAAGGTGGGTTAGGTGTGATTCTTACTTTCCTGCTTCTTAACAATAAACACTTCTAAACAATAACTGTAATGTCTACTGAGGACAGAAAACTAATTTTGAAAATTGACGTTCTGTAAATACGCAAATGTAACTTTTTTCACTCTAGGCTTTTCTGCACAGGGTGGTGCTAACAGCTTACTCGGGTTCCAAGGGCGGGCTCTTCCCATCATGTTGCCAAGTCGGGGTGGGGAAGGGGGACTCTCAAGGTGCTGCCCTTCATTCTGAGAAATGCCCCCCAGCCCGGCCCCGCTCTGTGACTCTTCACCAGAGAAGGACCCCGGGTGAGCTGCCAGCCGTCTGTACACGCAGAGGCACATGCTGAGAACACGGGGTTTAGGGAGAACCTGAGGAAGCTATTCACCGCAGGGAACTGAGGGTTGCACACACAAACCGTTCTTCTTTCAAACCAAATAAAATACATTATTTCTAGGAAATCTCTTCGTGCCCATTTTTTAAAAACGTTGTCCATTCCAGAATGTTCCCTGCCATCTCCTTATTCAGGTTGGGGCACCACGTTCCCCCACAACTTCGCTGGCTTCCACACTTACTTCCATCTCAAGCTAAAACTAGGAAGGGAATTTCCAAATTCCACGAGGGAAGAAAAATTAAATTAGGGTTTTAAATGCAGTACTCTGCCAAAGTGACACTTCCCCATTGCTCCTCTGTGCCTGATTCTGCCCCGTGGCCCCTCCTGGTACCAGCTGGAGAGAGAGACCTTTAAAAGCTCAGCCTTGGGTAATGACATGCAGGCGGGTAATTTCTGAATCTCATTACAGCTCAAAGTCAGGAGATAAATTCCAGCTACATTTCTTCAGCGTTTCCTAACATTTCCACAGGTCCTGCCTAGAAACCTCTGCCTTCCCCAGCTGGAAGTCTGCCCAGCGTCCTGACTAAATGCCTTCCAAGCTGCAGGATCGATTTAATTTGTGTGGTTTCCATTCCAAAGGTTTCCTGCTAATTAATTAAAGTCTTGTGCGAAGTTTAATTGAGAAGCCAAGTTTTCCTTATAAGAAAAAATGCCTTTCTCTTTTCTTTTCCATCTGAATAAAAGATCTTGGGGGAAAAAAAAACAGCTGAGGATCAAATGAGCAGCTTCTCAGGAGGAGTGGCAGAACTCTTCCTGCAGAAGGAGGGCAGGCAGCCGGGGCACGACTTTGAACTTATGTAAAGTGGTGAGCAGGGCAGGAAAGGTTGATCTAGAGAGACACCAGTCGGTCCTTTCGAGTAACACCGTGTGCTGGGAAGATGAATGCGGAACAGAACTCACCGGAGATCTGGCCTTCAGTCCTGTTTACCTGTCTAGAACCCGGCTGTACGTAACAAAGCAGGATGGCTTATGAATTGTAAATAGCTAGATGTTACGTTGAGCAGAATGTGCTTTTTCACAAAAAGGATTCAATGACTGCGGCTCACTTATAGTCATTCGGTACTGACGTTCTCTCACAGAGTCCCCAGTCTTTCGTCTGAGGGATGTGACTCTTTGGAACCCCCTAGAGACAGAGGTAAGTCACACAGCGAGGTGGTAGCACAGAAGAAAAGTGATAAAATCAAAAGACAAGTACATAGCAACGTTCTTTTTAAGCAAAACAGGTGCTGTCCCTTTGATGAGGATTCTGGGCTCAATTATGCACCCCTCAAAATTCGTATAATGAGTCCCTGACCCCCACTATTTTACAATGGGACAGTATTTAGCAAAAGCACCTCCAAAGAGGTGATAAAGTGAAAATAAGCCATAAGGGTGTGTCCCAACCCAATGCAACCTGACAAGGAGAAAATGGGGACACGCTGGGACGTTAAGTCTGTCTGTGGACAGAGGAAAGACCCAGTGAGGACCCAGGAGGGAGGCAGCCACCTAGAAACCCAGGAGAGGAACTGCAGAGGAAGCCAACCCAGGTGACACCCCCGAACTGTGAGACGATAAGCGGCCATTGGGGAAGCCACCCAGTGTGCGGCGTTTTGTGCCGGCAGCCATAGCAAACTAACGTGGTAAAAAATGTCAGAATGCGTGATGGCCAGCCTCGAGAGGTCCCGGGGCTCTGCCCCAGACCCTTATTTGGGGTGCACTTCACAGGGACCTCGGCCTTCTGTGTGTTCGCCTGGAATTGCCACAGCAACTGCAGTAAATTCACACCTACGGTCACAACAGTGCTCCGAACATTGGAAAGCTGAAGCCCCCGGACACTTCGGTGTTTGTGGCGGAACGGCCTCACATAAGCAGGTTGTGGGACAACTGCATCCGGGACATTGCATTTGATGTTGTGCCTCCACGGTAGAGACTTTGATAAACTCAAGAACGTGGGAACATTTTGACCTTCGGAGGAAATATGTTGCCATGTGACTAAGGTGGAACCCTGCAGGGCCCCACGTCTGGCCAGGAGCAGGGCCCGCTGCATGTGGCCATCCCGTGAAGTTGTCCGCGGTTCCCAGCAAAGGTGTCCGTCATCACCAGCAGCAAGGAAGGAGGGCTCGGAAACACGCTACCTGGGGTCTCGGCCTGGAGCTCCCAACACAGACACAGAGTCCCCGTGTCCTTTCCCTTCATCAGGCCACTTGAATCCCTCACAACCTTTTCAGTTTCCCTCCAGCTCTTTCAAGCTCCAGCTCCAGTTCACAGGAACCCCTTCAGGTCCCGGGACCGCCCAGGATTCAAGTTCCTGGGCCCACTCCCAGCTGATGTTCACCAATAATGTCATGAGCCATATTTTAGTCTCCATCAAAAAATAAATGACGCCTGCCCATAGCTGACCCTTGACAGATGCCTGCACCTGCTTGCCAGTCCCCTGAGATTTGTTAATCGTCCCCACTCCCTCTCCACTATTGTCTCTGCTTGTCTATGAGGTAGGACCCTCCCCTCCAAACTCTACAGAACATTCTTATATGGGAGATATTCTTGTTGCTATAAAACATCCTCTCTTTCTATAAGGAAAAAAAAAGAATCTTTCACTGGTGCCAAGTGCAGAGGCTAAATAATACTCAGTGTAGGAGGAGGCAGGAAGGAAGGGAGGAAGGGAGGGAGGGGGCTGAGGAGACTCCAACATGTAGTCATCCACTTATTCTTTGAGTTGCCAGGTAGTGAAGAGAGATTTAAGGGACCCAGGTTTAAACCCCAACATTCAAGGATACCCTTTCTGTCTACCCAACTCTGCCCATCATTAAGTTAGCATATTAATGTGTAACTAACTGAGTCAGCACCTTCACCTGCTTGAACCCACATGCTCTAACTGCCCATGCCGGTGGCACTGACCCTGTGGGAATGGGCCATGTCCAGGGGCCTGGCCTGGCAGCCAGTGGTCCAGGGAGTTTTCTGTCCACACAAGTAAGGGCCACACCCAACTGGCTCCAGACACCCCCACCTGCCCAAGCACCAAAGCCTTCTCTGGGAAAGTGAGCCCCACTGGTCGAAATGCCCAGCTCTTTCTTGCTTATCCTGGGACCGAACTCCTTCAAGGTCTACTACTGATACCCCGTCTGTAGGGCTCCAGGAAGTAGCTGGTCCGACCTGGAGACCCTAAGCCCTCAGAAGGAACTTGACCTGCACTGGTGTCTGCCTCCGTAAATTTTTGGACAGCAAGTCTCACATCTTTTTCATTATTCCCAACATTGACTCTTCTGCACAGTGAGCATTAGATAAATGTTTACTGTATTTAATTTTAGATAATTAGGGTCAGGTACTTCATCATTTGAATGTTGATTTTTAAAAACTGACTTCAGGGATGCTATTTTTGACCTGGTTTAAGACTTTGAGGCTGTAGGAAGTTATTCTCAATTTGTTTAACTGAGTCAGAGAGAAGACACTTTTCTTGTGGATAGATGAGGGATATAAGGGCTTTCTCTTTTGTAGGATTATTATTTTAGTGTTAGAAAAGCCCTGGGAGATAATGACCTAATCTTTTTCCTCACAAATCAATCTGAAGTGTCAGGTTATCTTACAGAATTCTACCTGGTCGTGGATTCTGGCTCATCAGTGGGTAGACAATATAGCAATATTTAAATGGCAAACCTGCTCCTCAGACATGACCAGAAAACCCCTTCTTTATTTTCCCCAAGTCTAGCCGATTTCTGGTCTGTAAAACCAGAAATTTCAATGTGAGGGGAGGAATGAATACTCAGCAGACAGAAAGGACAGGACAGGCTGGTGGGCCGGGTGAGAGGAGCTTACTCAGTGCCGCTCTCCACCATCTGCGTGAGGAGGAAGATGCCGTCCAGGTTGATGAACTCCTGGGCGAAGGTGACGTCGCGGGACAGGCTGGCCAAGTCCTTCAGGGCTTCCAGCTTGGAGTCCATACTGGACGACTGGATGCGTTCGTGGAGCTGCTGGGCGTTCTGGGCCTTCCCAAGGCAAAAACAGAGGAAACCACAACAAGGAACATTAGTGTCTCACCCACCCAGAAACAAGGCACAGAGGCCCAAGGCACGAGTGAGTGTGCACTCAGCGCCACGGCAGGCGTCCAGCCGCAGCGACTCCACCTTCAGGCCACATCTGGTCGTTCACTGTGGAATGAATCAGTCGCCTCCTTTTGCTGGGCCCAGATTCCCATCTCGCAAAGAGCTTCCCCAGGAACAGGACAGGCGTGGCAGTGAGGGGGGGAACTGGGGAACATGTTTACCTTTTGAGTCAAAGTTTTATCTGTACACAACAAAAAGCTTGTTGCTCAGTTAAGCAATTACGCAAATTTATACAGTGTGTTCACCAGTTCTGCCAATACTCTGAGTAGTGACTGCCTACACATGGTGCTCAACAGTGTCATTAGACACCCCAAAATCTTTCTGGGTCACTGGCAATCTTCCGGCACAACACAACGATGCTTTTAAACCTCACTTTCCGACAACATGTGTTTCCCATACATTTGCTACCTACTGAACGAATTTCTAACAAAATAATTAGGGAACCAAATCAGTAGTTTCACCTAGAACTAGGCTTCTTTTTGAGGCATTGGCAGTTGGCTCATGCAAGCAGGGCAGGAGGAGATGGAAATATACTGGGCAAGCTGAACTTCTGGATAATAACTTGTCATCTCTCTTTCTTTTTCCGCCCAGGAAAGGTTTTCCTCTCTGTCTTTCAGTCAGGCCAAGCAACCAAAAAAAAAACCAAAAAAACAAAAAACTCAGTGTTCCTGCCTGGTTTTTTGTTTGTTTGTTTTTTTTTTGCTTAATAGAAGTAAGTCCACATCTGTTGTCATTATTCTTGAACTCAAACTTTCGATGGCCGAAGCACTCTGCCTTCCTCATATTCCCCCACTCAGGTACTCACTCTTTTCCTTTGAAATGACACTGTACTTTGGAGATGGAGGAAGATGGGTGTTTGAGTCCAACAATGAGGTTCTTCTCCTGAACAGAAATTGAGTAGAAATATCTGAGGGGTCCCATGAGAACTGTAACCAAGTAAAGGTCTCTCGGTGGAGAAAGGGAATCTGCACAGGTCCTGGGAGCAAAGGGGCTCCACCCGGACAGGCTCCGCAGCCACAGCCCCTCCCTCCCTCCATGGCCGGCTGCCCCTTCACTGTCGGTAGCCCTGAGGACAGAAAGGGGTGCAACAGGAAACCAAGGCCATGCTTTAGGGACCAAGACAAGTGAACCGCATTCCCCTGTCACTCGGTCAAAGACAGACTGGTCTGCCATGTATTATAACCAAAACTGACACTCTGCATCAGAAGTAAGAAAAGAAAGAGAAGAAAGGAAGAGAGAACCCTCCCTACTCATTCATTTGCTGATCCTCGGTTATCTGACAAACTGCTCAAACCCCAAATCCTGTATTTTAAAAAGGCACAAAAGAGAGCCGAGCGAGAATCACTTTACCTTTTTCAATTGTTCAAGGATACACTATTCTCTAAAACTATCGAATGGATGTACAGCACTAGCACTAACATTAATATGTAACCCAAGTGAATCACTAAATTCCTAGAAAACCACATTTTTCTTCAAGCAGGAAGTCGCACTGACTTGAGTCATGATGACAACAATCAGTACCCAATGTGATTCACTGTCATTATCAGTGTTAACTACCATTGTTTGGCGCTGTTAATATCAAAGCTGGAAACAGCGCCCGGGCACCTACTGCTCCCCACGAGCCACGATTGTAAAGATCTGTATGGAGGAGTCCGCATTACCTGCACAACAGCCCCAGCAGGCTGGTACCTTCAGCATTTCACAAAGGCCACCGACGTTCAGAGAAGTTAAGTTGTTTGCCCAAGGTCACAAGCTTGCAGCTCTGGAGCTAAGATAGAACCCGGGCAGCTGGACTCTGGACAACAGGCTGGAAAGCAGTAGGTCTCCAACTGCTGCATGATCAGAGCCACCTGGTGGGCTTCTCAAAACACAGAGCCCTGGGCCTCACCTAGAGCCTTGGGTTCTGTGGGCCCAAGGTGGGGTCCCTGAAATTGTATGTGTAGCAAGCTCCCAGGTGCTGCTGCTGGTCGGGAATCACATGCAGGGAACCACTGTTCTAAACCACTAAGCCCCGCCTCCCATCTCCTGGTCACATTGGGACATGCAGCCCAGCCCCACTGGGCACTGGGCTCTGATTCTGTCTCCTCATTATCACGTGTCCCCAGCAGCAGCACAACCGCCCCTCCTGGCTGACTGCACCAAAAAGGTGATCTACCTGCCCTTTTAGAAAGTGTCTGGGTCTCAGGAGAAGCATTTGCTAAGAAAATCAAAAAAGTAAGTCACTGATGGTGGGTTCTAGGCAGATGAGATTTGCTATAGCATTCTTCCCACTTTTGTGCATTTGAAACGTTACCTGCTTAAACATTCAGAATTTGTTCATCTAAAGTCAGAGGCGTGCCCAGAGATGACAACAGAATCCTGAAGAGGACAAGTGTCACAAGCAGAGGAATGAAGACGGAAGTCCCAAACCACAGGACCACTAACAGGCTGCTGCCCTGGAATCCAGAAACATTCCTCCCAGACAGTCACACACCACAGCGACACCCCAGTGACCACCAGGGTCTCAGCCAGGGAGCCACATCCCGCAGCGGTAAAAGCGTCCCCCGCATGGTGTCCGTCTGTGACAGTCAGTTCCCAGATGCCAGGGCGGAGAAGTTCCTGGAGAGCCACCTGCTCTCTCCTGTGCTCAACCCACTGCCTGAGAACCACCCGCCCTGTTTGCACAGCGGTGTCCTTTCTTTAAAAACTTTTTAAATTTATTTTTTATTTATAGTTGACATACAATATTATATTAGTGTCAGGTGTACAACATGGCAGTTAGACATTCACATACGTTACAAAGCGAATCCAACAATTCCACTTCTGGGTATGTCTAGCTGAAGAAATCCCACACACCAAATGGAATAGACATGCACCCCCATGTTCACCGCAGTGGTATTTACAATATTTACAATCGCCAAGATGTGGAACTGCCCAAGTGCCCATCAGTACCACAGTGGATAAAGAAGATGTGGTCCAGATATTCAATGGAGTGTGACTCAGCCATATATGAGACTAAAAGCTTGCCCCCTGCGACAACATGGACAGACAGACCCAGAGGGTGTCCCGCTGGGTGAACTACGCTGTGGTGTTCTTCTTTAAGCCAGGTGTTACTTCTCTCCCTGGGTGCCCTAAACTAAGGGGTAAACTTTTCATAAAAACGCAGAGTTCCTGCAGTGTTTGCTGTTGGGTGAATTTTCCTCTTGCTTTTGAGACACAAGCAAACCTGGAGGGGATGCATCACTCACCAGATGGGAGGGTTATGGGGAGCTGGTGGGTGGTGGTGAGTAACTCCCCAAACGCAGATTGAGAATGTGGGGCTTTAACCAGCTCTGCTACTGATTAGCACGGCCGCCTCACTGAACTCCCCCTAACCTCTCTTGGCCTCGTTTTCCCCACTGGCCCACGGAGGAACCGTGATGAGGTCACGTCTAAGGTGCCCTCCAACCCCCAGAATCACGGACTGTTTCTCGGGTGGGCAGGAACCCTCATCACAGTCTCCAGGAAAGGTGCCAAATCGGTGTCAGTCCCCCAGACATGAGCCCCCATCAAAACATTATATCCAACTTCTGGGACATTTTTAAGACAGTATTTCTGTAGTTGGAACCAGAAATATTTTCTTCTTACCTTCTCTCATTTCTAAATAGTCTGGATATGGAACTCTTATTATAAAAATTAACACGGAAAGAAATACGTTTTATTATGAAAATATCGAGTGTTGGTAAGGAAAATGTACTTCTTTGGCATCAGGTATGGCCAAAAATTACGCGGCAGAGAATTTTACTTGGGCTCTATTCAGACATGCCTTACGGTTGCCCATTTCCAAGCTGGGCCCCTACAAAACCAAAGGCAGAATCCTCACTCTTGACAGAAGAGCTTTTCTGGAAGGTGCGCCCTGCGTGAGGCGCTGTTCTGTGCGTGTGGGACAGAACCACCGACACAGCAGCCCTGCGCCTCCACCTTGGGGCTTACACCCTACAGGGGGGGCAGGGGGGTGAGCAACAGAACAAGGTACCAGTAAGAACTAAACACTGAGGAGATTTATAGCAAAATCTGATATTGGGAATGTGACCGAGAGGAGTGGGTGGCTTTTTAAGAAAAGGCGGTTTTCCAGGGCCAGCAGCCTGAGGAAATGACATTTCAGCACAGAGCTGGTCGATAAGAAGCCAACCGCACTGAGGAGGAGGGAGCTGGATTTCATTTTCTTTAGTGGCAGGATTTATGTTTTATTTATATGTTCACCAGCATATATTTTTTATTTTTCAGTTATAACTGACATTCAACATTATTCTGTATTCATTTCAGGTGTACGGTCTAGTAGTTAGACATGTATGTACCTTACAAAGTGATTCTTCCCAATAAGTCTAGGACCCACCTGGCACCACACACAGTTATATAAATACTATTGACTGAATGCCCTGTGATGTAACTTTCCATCCCCGCGACTACTTTGTTCCTGCTGATCTGTACTTCTTAATCCCTTCACCTTTCTCACCCAGCCCCCCACCCCTCCCACCAGCAACCATCATTCTGTTCCGTGTCTCCCAGTCTGTTTCAATTTTGTTTTGTTCTTGAGATTCCACATGAAGTGAATGGATTTCTGGGCAGTGGGCAGGGTTAGCACAAAGGAATAATGGGAGGAGCAAGCCTGGCGTGTTTGGGGGGAACCAAAGTGGGCCAGTGGGCCTGTGGTTGGTGGGCAAAGGGGGAAGGGGAAGCGGGGCAGAGTGGCGTGGAACACAGCCTACGGCTTCCTGAGCAGCACCCGGGAGGAGCCTGGCGGGTGACGTACTCCCGTGACTGAAAGGATGCATTTAACTCTCAGAGACGGATGTGTGCCACCTTTGGGCACTTAAAATAGCATTTGGATTCAAACACTAGAAGCAAATGCTATGTTCAACAGT